TATTGGACATATTTTTATTTAATTATTATGTAGATATCATTTTTGCATAACATTTTTAATAGCCGTAGTTGGCTAGGGGCTTAGCGTTTGTCGTAAATTTTACAGTACACGAGCAACTCGGAATTGCTACCCGCCGGCGCCAATGTAATTATTAATTCATTATATTTTTGTGGTGATGAAAATAATTATGAGAAAACCTACATTTCTGAGGAATAAGGATATTTCGAACACATGTGAAGTCTGCAGGACATGACGAAAACTCACCGGAGCAGTGCGGCTGAATAATTGCCCCATGACCATCTCAGTTATGATGGGAGGCTTGTACCCAGCAGTGGGACTAATGAACAATGCAACTAGCAAACTATCACAGTTAATTCATTTAACAATTCTAAGTGGTACGAGTCCATTTCTGCATGGAGTACGTCTGGCTAGTTACTACCCTCGTTTCTATTTCTACCGCCAAATAGCAGTGATTATACTGCTGTGTTTCGGTTGGAAGGGTATAATGAACCAGTATAACTATAGGTTGCGTGATATTATATTTTGGTCCTCAGAAGTAACACCGTATTGTTTTTTTTTATAGAAGAGGTGGCAAACGAGCATGCGACTCACCTGATGGTAAGTAGCTACCGCCGCTCATGAACAACCGCAACACCTGGGAAATTGCAGATGCGTTGCTGGCTTTTTAGAAAGATGTGAGCTCTTTTCTTGTAGGTTCCTAAGTCGTATATTATATATGTATTCTTGTTTGTGTAAAGTTGGTTCGTTTGTCACTGCCTTACATATCTATTACAGCCTATAAAGGTCCACATGAACATAAGACTCTCCCTTAGATTGCTTCATAGGTTCATAGGAATGTTTTCGCCTTGGTTGCCACTTTTTATTATTTTTAGTTGCCATAGTTTATAACTTTGAATTGTTATCAGGAAGATGCTGATGCCCATCTTCTGTTTTAGTTTCCATCTGTAGCCTCTTACGATAGCCACGGCACGCTAGGTATTGGATATTCTTACTCTAATTTGTTAATGTAAAAAATAAATTGTAGTTCTTACGTTAATTTGAATAATGTAGATTGGGAAATTAAAAATATTTTGAATACATCTAAAGTCCGCTACACGTACAAGTCCTAAGTCCGCGCACTGAGGTAGCGCGGTGGATATTTCCTTGTCCTAAAGCACCCTTAAAAATGAGAGGAGGCTTGAAGAGGCCAAGGAGTGGGATGGCTATAGGCTGCAACTTTACTTTACTTTATTTTAATATAATATACCACCAAATTCTAAATAGACATATACACACAAAAATAAACATAATATTTTCTATTATCTTTTTAGTACAATATCTAAAAACAGTTAATTACTATCTCAATAAAGCGCCGGAGAGTACTGAGTATAATAATTTAAAATAAAAAAATTTGTACAACCGTACTTCAATATAAATTAACTCAACAATAAAACAACTCAAAAACTATTGGTCAGGCCTTGATCAAATTCTCTATATATATGAGACCACATGAAAAGCACCAGCTTTCAAATAAAAAAAGAATCATCTAAATCGGTTCACCAATAAAAAAGTTATAAGGTAACACACATAAAAAACATACAGTTGAATTGAGTACCGTCTCCTTTTTGAAGTCGGTAGAAAATAAATTAAATTGGCATTTTGTTTCGACATACGATACATGAATGGTATAGCAATCAACTGTCGAATAATATTTTAACAGTTGGCTACTATTACAAATCAAAACATCAGCCAATCTATTACTGAAGGCATTCAAGCGTTTGATGAAATTTAAACGGAAGGCTTTATTTGCCCCGAGCTTTATTTAATTGAATTCACTGTATCCATATCACGAAATCTATACAAATCCAATTCACAGAGAACTCGTTCAACATAATTAATTATCAAATTAGAATAGAAATTTTACTTATTTGATTGAAATACGTCATTAGATTTCATTAGATATGTGTGATATTTTAATTTTCCTACAAAATTAATTTTATAAAATAATTATTATGTGGTTGTATTTTTCTCCGTTGGTGTCGTAAGAGGTGACCGTGGAGAATGTTCAGAAATATCCACAACATCCGATAGATTGCGGTAAAACACTGATAGGTCAGTTCGACCGGGGAAAGACCACGCTCTCTTACAATACCAGCGTAAAATAGCAGCTCAACACTGCTGTGTTTCCTATGGTGAGTGTAGAGAATCGGATACCCTTTTTAATGGAAACGAGGCATTTTACCTTAGTTCTCACGGGTGACAACGCATCTGCATTTTGATTCGTAATCGAGGATAGATGTCTATGGGCGACAGCAACCACTTACCATCAGGTGGACTGTGCGCTCGTTTGCCAACCTTATTCAATAAAAAAACAATCATTTTCATCAGAGTTGTTCGAGATATCTGGTACTACAATCGCCAGTTCACCGGCCAAACATAGTGACTATGTTATATCCTTGTGGAGTCTCCTAGTCAGCGAAACCGGTAAAGATAAAACTCCAACTCAGGCTATCAATTGAAAAATATCAATGAACTGGCTAAATCAAATTAGGAAGTCTTATCTTAACATCTGAAACATTGAATGCTTTTCCATCAGTCACCGAGTCATTACTCAAGTCTTATTTTAATATTTGTTTAAAGAATTTAGATTTCATAAAGTATTACCACAAGATATTCTAAAATGTTTCTAAAAATGTGTTTTGGTGATAACCGCAAATTTATGAGGAGTTTCTGAGAGAATTGCATCTCATCTTGCTGTTTTTAATACTACTGAATCAAATTACGTATGGTTCTTGATCTAATGACACGACATGATAAAGTAATTAATATCTTTATTTTAATCTGGTGGGTACATTGGATCCTGCTAATTTAAGATCAATTTCTGTTCTGCCAACACTCAATATTTCCTTTTAATTAATTTACATCAAATGTTAAGAGCCGTGGTAGTTCAGATGGTTAGCGCTCGCTGTTAGTTTCACAGTACGCGAGAAACCCGGGTTCGATCCCCGCCGGCACCAATGACATTGTTAATTGCAATTTTAAGAGCTGATTTACCACGTGCTCAGCGGTTAAGGAAAACATCATGAGAAAACCTGCATGTCTGAGAAATAAGAAAAAAATATATTTCGAAGACATGTGAAGTTCGCCAACACGAATTGCGGTAGCGCGGCGTACCTTTCCTTGCCCTAAAACCCTCTCAGAAATGAGAGGAGGCCTGTGCCCAGCAGTAGGACGTATATAGGCTGTAATTTTAAGCCTCGCTCGCCGCATGTATTAGTCAAGAAACTAGATTTCTTCTGCATTAGACGACTTAGTGTATATTGAATAAAATATTCCATTCTAAAATTTCTAAAATATTCCATAGTATAATAAAGCCCAAGGTCGAGGGTCCAAGAATAATTCAAGAAAACTGAAATCGTAATAGGTGACTATGACGTCTATCAGCCTGACAAGTGAGACGGACAAGGCAAATCCTCCTTACCGTAATACGAGTAGAGTCCAATACTGAACATAAGACTCTCCATATATAGCCTCAGGTGGATACTTGGCGTAGTTACCACGCTTGGCAAGCGGGTTGGCAACCGCAGTTTTGTATTTTTAGTCGTTACTAGGAACACTGAGGCGACACAGGGAAATAAATCACACTCCTGATTTATTTCCCTCTGTCGCCTCTTCGACACCCACTGGTTGGCAATAAAAGTTAGTGATATTCTTACACCACTATTACACGTTCCTTCTTATATCAGGAGAAACCCATGTCCACTAGTAGGCTTTTAGGGGCTGTTGGTGATGAGACGGGTACATCACCTTTGGCCTAACTCTTGAGATTATTTTTTAAAATAAGCTGTTTAACCTTTAGTTTGTCTCTATGAGACAACTTATCAGAAATATTTTATGTCCAGCAGTGGGCTTTTGAATATGATAATGTATAAAGATATAAGACGACCTGGTAAGAAATGCAGGAAGTCGATGGATGCAGGTGGCTCAGGACCGTGCTTTGTGGCATTCCTTGGGGGAGGCCTATGTTCAGCAGTTGTGAAAGGCTGTAATGATGATGATGATGATGATAAAGATACTTATTAACAGTAAAATAATTAGACAGTTGTTAATATCTCTTTAGAAATTTAAATGTCTTAACTTTACCTTGCATTTATAAAGGACTCTAGTAGATTTGTCAGAAATTATCCGAATTCGTATACAATGCTTGAAAATATGACCCGTCGCTACGAATCGCTAGAAAAGCAACCGGCTCAATTCGAAATCTTGTTTAGTACTACATGACTCCGTTCCCTATACAATGTCTTCAAATGTGTAAAATAAACTGCCAAAAATAAATTTAGTAAATTTATTAAATTATTAAAAGTGTTACTTTGAAGTATATTACATAATTAATTATGGAATACTTATAAGATAAAACGCTTTAGATGTTTGTCTCTTCCATTTTTTTATAGAATAAGCTTGAGAAACGAGCACACAGTTCACCTGATGATGTGAAAATGCTGTGACCCATGACAGGCATCTATTTAAAACATTTAGAAACAGAATGGTAGCGATCACGTCTTTCCCGGGCGTTATTGTCAATCATGTAGTTTAGTGGTGTAATAAATCATATTGAACAATTTTTGCTTAGTAAAAATTTTAAACTATTTCATAGACAAGTTCAACATAGAGACGGTTTTAAGACAAGGAATTGTTTATAGTGCTGCCCCAATGGGTGTTGATAGACTTTATACCATGTCTACGAAATAAATATTTTTAAAACTCTTAGATATGCATGTGTTCTTACGTTTTCCTTCATAGGTTTTCCTTCGCCGCCGAGAACATGAAATTAGTGCCTTAAAGTGCAATTCGCAATTTCATAGGTGCCAGCGTGGACCGAAGCCGGGTTGCTTGCCCACTATGATATTTACGTCAAGTGCATAGCCTCTGAGCTATTACGGCTTCTTCCAATAAAAAAAAATATTCCTAGCTTTACGTAATTAGTTTTTTTTTGTTTCCAGTTAAACGCTGGCGTAGGTACGCCGACTCCTATAAAGACGATCAATGTTAATTGGGCTTTCCAAGCCAATTTTCAGCTGCCATGGAACAGAACACAGATACCACTTGATGTTTTAGAAGCCGATTCTGGCTATCCAGGATTATCAAGAGGGAAAAGAGAAGTAAGCAATAATGCAATCACTAGTAGTGACGAAAGGATATATTATGAAAACGATGCGAGACTATATCACTTTTATAAGTACGTCGAAGACGTCTTAAATGGGTAAGAATTGTCTTAAATTAATATACTTATGTGTACATTGATGGGAATATAATGGATTAAATTAATGTTCAACACATTCTTACCGTTCACAGTCACGTCAACAGTCCACAGCTGAACACAGGCCTCTCCCATAGATTGCGTCATAGGGCGATGTTTGCCAAAGTTGCCATGCATGGCAGGCAGGTTGGCACCCACATTTTTAAGTGTTTGTGTCATGCTGCATCTATACTATACTTGTGGCATTAATGGGGTGGCTCGACCGGGTTAAGACCACGCTCTCGCAGAATACCAGCGTAATATAGCAGAGTAATGCTGCTGTGTTTCGTATGGTAAGTGTAGAGAACCGGAGACCCTTTGTGCTGGTAACGAGGCATTCCATCTTAGTCCTCAAGAGTGACAAGGTATCTGCATTTAAATTCTTAATCGAGGATAAATGTAGATGTCTATGGGCCACTTCATCCATTTACCATCAAGTGAACTATGTGCTTGTTTGTCACATTTATTCTATATAAAAAATATATATTTGTTAACAGAGTTTCATTTCCCTCTGTTGCCTCCTACGACACCCAAGGGAAGACATGGAGTAGTGGATATTCTTACACCAACACACGTAATCACGATCTTTAATATATTATTCAGCTGAGGATTACATATCATCCCGTGGGTATCAAGTAAAACTGAAATAGAAGATGGGCAGCACCATCATCCTATTAACAACTTAAAATAATAAAAACTGCTGTTAACATCCCGCTTATTTTCGGCAGTGGATTTATGATATGCTTTAACGATGATCGTGATGATGATGACTTCGTAAAAGCATTTAGTTTTCTCTAGTAGCACCAGTCGAATTGGAATCGGCCATTTAACTAGTGTCGTGAATCACTTCCAGCACAAGAATTTTAAGCTCTGTTGGTAAAGACTACAAGAGTATCAGTATAGTTATAATTATTTATTTCACGATGAAGATTTGGCCTTGGTTATTGTTAGCCGTGTACAACGCCTACGCACACTAACACATTGTGTTAGTGTGCGTAGGCTGCTCCCGAGCGCCCGCAGCCTACGCACACTAACACAATGTGTATGTACACGGCTAACAACAACCAAGGTCAAACCTTCGTTGTGAAATAGAATAACTATAACGGTATTACTATTAGTACCTTTACTATCCTCGTTGGTTTAGTGGTCGTAAGCGCGACTGCTAATCGTGAGCTCCCAGGTACAAATCCCTGGTCCGGCAAAACAACAATCACTCAACAACTCGTGTTATTGTAATCAGATGAATGACATAGGAACGACAAACGGATAAAGATTTCAGAAAAGAAACATAGCATAACAGAAATCTTTTAAAATTATTTCTGTTATGTTTTTATTAACCGTGTAGTAGCAGTGTAAGAAAATCCACTACCCCGTACCGTCGCGAGGGTGTCGTAAGAGGCGACAGAGGGAAAATGAAACAGAAGATGGGCAGCAGCACCTTACTAATAACAGCTCAAAATAATAAAAAATTGCGATTGCCAACCCGCTTGCCAAGTGCTAAACTATGCCAAAATCCTCCCATGAGGCAATCTATGACGGAGGCCTATGTTAAGCAGTGGACTGTTATAGGCTGTAAAGATGTTTTTTTTTGGGTTGTGCAAAATAACACATGAATTACCTATAGTAATTTAATAAATAAATGTATCTCGTATACTTTACTTTGTGAGATAGGCAGATTAACAGGACTGCGACCATTTTTTTTTTCATTTTTTTCTCGTTTCGTTGCTACAATCCATTGTGTGTTTTTATTATCACTTGAAACGGTTGTCAGAAGTGATAATCACCAACCATGTGTTAATTGTAATTTAGTTTGTAGCTTCAATTTTTTAAATTTCTGTCTGTTTTTCATTTTTCCTATCTCTTTTCATCAAAAAGAATTCCCTAGTAAATTTTCTAATTAGGTTGTTGCGGAAAATGCTCTTTATAAAAATATTTAGCTATTAATTGATTAAAATTTTATTTGTTCCTAATTTTAATTAAAATAAAATTCATATAAAATTCGTCTACACATTGAGATGACTAAATTCTGCACAACAATATATACATTAAGTATAAAAAATAATTTTATTAATCTTAATTACTGTAAGGAATGTATAATATCCTATTATTTTACACACTCTATCTGATGAAATAATCGAAAATCAAGTCTATTATCTTGTATAGATTTTAGCTTTTTTCTTGCCTTTTTTGAAGTAAATACTCACGGGATGAGTGTGGAAATACCCGATTAGTCTTTTGACGTCTTTAGTTAGTATACGTGTGTTGCGTAATTATAAATGTAGAACAATTTTTAGGAGTAAATAACATAATGTGATCGGCCAAAAATTATTTGCTTATGGACTACAAAATATAATAACATAAGTCTCGGCGAGTTTTATGTAACTGTTTTTGGACATTGTTGGTAGGAATAATTGTGATTTCTTTTTAATTTTAGCATGTTGCGTTAAAGTGTGCAAAAGTCTATTTCTTTTGTTTGATTCCTTCTTCAGGTGTCATATCGGCAATGTGTATGTACATATCGCTTGAAGTTTATTTATTTTTTAGATTTGGTCATAACGGAACAGCGTGTGTACTGAGAGCGCTGTGTCACCTGGGTGCTGAACCACTTCATAATGACGACGATGAGGATCTTTTGCACGAGTTGGCCAGCTATGTTCTTAAGTAAATTTTCAACACTAATGTCTTATATTTAACACATTTTTACGTAAATGAAATAAGATTACTGAATAACAATTATTTATTTATTTAAACTTTTATGCACAAAAATTCGAATTAATGCCTTAAGGCAATTTCTTCCAGTCAACCATTAGACTAAACAGACATTAACTTATGAGAGTTAGGGTACAATATATATATACATACTTAAATACATATACATCGTGTTATGGCAGCGTAAAAGACGACTATGAACAATTCCAGAACAATCTAATAGCTTCCTGTAGATAGAGGGATAACCTTCTCGTTTACCCCTGACATAAAATATTCAGACCAAAACACGATCTCCAATCATCTTCCACGCGTGGCGATTATATCAAATCCTGCCTACAAAAGGCGATGTTCATATTTAGCTGTGAACTGTCACAGGCTGCTAAAGAAGAAGAACAATGACTTGAAGATAAATTTGGAATATTATAAATTTGTCAGTTATTGAGTAAAATAATTATCACCTTCATTACAACCCTTCACAAGTCAACTGATGAACATAGGTCTCTCTCAAAGAATCCCACAAATCACGGTCCTGAGCCACCTGTATCCATCGATTTGACCAGGTTGTCAATCCATCTAGACAACCAATAGGGAAGAAAGGTTCTCAAATAGCAGCCTCGTACCAGTGTATGGTGGCCCCCACTTAATGAAATGACGTAAAATAATAACACCTTCTGAATGTTTATCTTTATCCAATTCGTGTATGGAAACCACCTCCGCGATACAGGAGAAATTTCTAAGAAAAAACCTCAAAACAAAATTCAAACACATTTACCAAACACATAGAAAACGTAGATGAACTTATAGACATTTTTCCCTACTGATTAAATATCGTTAAATAATTTCGATATCTTGGCATATCGGTAACGAATTTAATAAATATGATCCGTGATGAGCTATTCGGCGACAACGAAACCCGCAGATTGCTTGGAGTGCGCGTGACATAAATAGCGGTTCAGTAATTCACTCGAGGTAACTTCGGGCAGAGTAATGTTGTACCTCGGTGTGAGTTTAATTTTCCTTCATAATTTTATTTTCAGCCCTGAAAATGATAATTTTGGCGGTGAAACTACAAACGCTGAAACATTCCCCTACATCAAGGCATTTAAATCAGGCGAAAGTTTGGAGTATTGCATGGAGATGTACAACTGTTCAATATCCCTTGTTGAGATGTTTACAAAAATAAACGATATTTCTTAAAATTTTATGAGATTTATTATCCTTAAAAATTATAAATTGAGGCATTGTCATATATAAAATTGTCCTTGATATCAATAGAAGCTAACAAAATACTAAAATATTAGTATATTTCATTAGCATTATCAGTGCCATAAATCGTCAACTGCTGAAAATGAGCCTTTCCTATGGAAGTGAGGATCTTATGCAACCGCTACATTTGGCAAATAGTTTGGCAACCACAGTTCCAGAAGCTTTTTATAGCATAATGCATGCAGTGATTGTCTGATGTTGTCTAGACCGAATTTCAGTTACAGCGGCCAATTTCAACGGAGACTAGCTATCGGGTGTGAGGACCTTTTCTATCCATGAGTCTATCTAGGTTGGTGTCACACTCATACCTGTTTCTGCGGCAAAATAGCAGTGCTTGCATTACTGGGTGCCATTCTGAAACATATACAAAGCTAGTAAAATTACAAACTATTAGGCATTCTATCTTCTTCTACGAAGCTGAAGCAACTGTAGTCCTATTGATTACAGGCTGTGAGGCATTCTATGTTAGTCTTTGAAGGTGAAAACACATCTATAGCCGTCTATAATTGAAATCGGTTATAGGAGTCCATGGAATACAGTTGCTACTTACTACCAGGTGGATTGTATATTCTTCTGTCACTTCAATTATAGAACAAAAACTTAAGTGTGTAGTCATGCACATGGTTATAAATACATTCATAAATATTGTGTCTTCAAGAAAACTACTACGATCTACTGCCAGATATAATGATTCCTGTTTGGAGCAACATGAAAAACACACTAAAACCCTTCCCGGAATAAGAAGATGCCTTTGCCAGATATTGGAGGTATATAAGCTATTATTTTCTATAAATACTCTTATGACGTATATGGGACATTGAGTTATAGGATTTCCTTTCACCATCAATTTATTAACTTACCGCTATGAAAATCAATGATTTTTAAAAAATCGCGAAGTTATTGGTTTCACTCCTGTTTTAGAAAATCGTGGTTTCATCATATCTCGACGTTTTGATGTCCTAGTAACCTAGATATTACTATGATTTTATGTGTGTGTGTGTGTGTGTGTGTGTGTGTGTGTGTGTGTGTGTGTGTGTGTGTGTGTGTGTGTGTGTGTGTGTGTGTGTATGTATTTGTGTGTATGTAAACCTCTCATAACTTTTGAACGGCTCGATCGATTTGAATGAACTTCGTGGCGTTTGAAAGGGTTTCACCAAACTTAGATCTTCAATACTATTTGAACCGATTCGAAACAGTAGATTTTGGGAAATTTCAAAAAAAAATACCTCGTTGATTTCCACCAATTACATCAAAATTGGTTAATCAGTTTGAAATTTATCGTTTCCAAAAATTTCAAAAAAAGTGTTTGTGTTAATAACTTTGAAATTTCTCCTCGAATTTAGATCTTAAAGCTCAAAAATGTAGTGGTTCCATCGGTTCATTTCATCCTATAGTGCTGGAATATTTGTCGAGCGTTTTAAGATCGAACATAGCGAGAATTTCCAGGGATGGCCTGCTGGGACAACCGTATTTTTTTATAAATATAATTATTTTAAGTTTTAGTTAATTTAATATAAAAAGAATCTATTAAAGAATATGTAAAATAACTTAAAAATGTTGCAAGAGATCACAGAAATGTTTTAAAGGTAACTATAACATTTTTTGTAGTTATCGTATCTAGGACATCTTGTAATCTAGGGCACCTAGAGTCGGAGAAATTATAACGCATAGTCTAAACTAACGAGTCCACTCAGAGAGCGTGAGTTGATTTTTAAACTAGGTAATACACATTATTGCATGCCGTAAGCGCAAAGCACACAGGTATGTTCTGCTACGCCCTAAACATTAAGATTCCAACGGTTTGTCGCATAAAATCGTATCTAATAATCATATTATACATATATATGATATAAAAAGCACATTGTCAGAATATTAAACGATTGTTGAACTTTATTTTTTTTTTAATCAATTTATTGCTATTTTTACATATAAAAGGGGTTTTAGTGGATTTGGCATTCCGCATGGCTTCGTAAGCACGATAACTTTTGAAAATATCAATTGTTCAACTCAATCTATTTTTAAAACTCTTCAACTCAAACTATCACGTGGGAAGCCATAGAATGTAAATGGCCGCTTAACTTTGTTTTGATTAGTTATAATTTATTTTATTTTATTACGCGGCTAATTGAATATATTAGGTATATATATTCAGGTATATAGACAGGTCATAAATTCTGTCACATGTTTAATATAAAATAATTGAAACATGTTTATTCATTACGTAACAATTTATATACCAAAATGAACTTAACAAAACATAGATTCTTATGACACTAAAGTTTATTCAAAATGACCTCCGTGATTCTGAATACAGGCCTTCAATCTGCGCGGCCAGTCGTCTATCGCAACACGAACGAGGTCCATGTCAATATCGGCGGCTGCCTTAATCAAGGATGTCTTGAGTGACTCCAAATTGGGATGAGGCTTTGAGCACGCCTTTTCCTCCAAGTGTTGCCATATCTTGTAATCTAACGGATTCAAATCTGTACTGGAGGAGGGCCAGTCTTCGTGCCGGATGAAGTCGATTTCACGCGCCGCCAGCCAGTCTTGTGTGCTCTTCGCTCTATGAGCTTGCGGCGAATCTTGTTGGAATACCCAGTGCCTGTTATTGAACATGGTATGAGAAATAGATTCCACAAGGTTCATCAGGACTGTATTTTGATACACAACTGCATTCGTTTTTACACCTTTCTCACAAAAATGTACCTCTGTTAAGCCCCAATAAGAAACTCCCAACCATACCATGAGCGAGGATGGAAAATGACCTCGTTGGACACGCGGAATACGGTTGCTCGCTTCTTTACTACTGTGTGCGTACACCTTATCATTTTGTTTGTTGTAGCTCTCTTCTACGGTAAAAAATTTTTCATCCGAAAAAAGAATCTCCCGATATTTTTTTCCCGCGTACCGCTTCAACAAAGCGCGGCATCTCTTCGGTCTCAGGTCCATTAGACGAGCATTCAAACGATGTTCTGTTTTTCTTCGATATGCCCGAAGCCCTAAGTCTTCATTTAACACCCTTTTCACCGTGGTTGTGCTTAACCCCATCTGAAGGGCCAACAGTTTCTGCTTACGTTTGGGATTTCTTTGAATTCGCGCCTTCACAGCTTTTATCACTGCTGGAGTCCTAACAGACCGAGGGCGACCACTTCTTGACCTGTAATCTACACTAGAGTCTTCATTGTATCGTTTGATGGTACGATAAACGAATCTTTTGGTTATATTCAAATTTTTCAGTATGTCAAAAATTTGAATAGGCGCGTTACCGCAACGATGCAACGCAATAACTGCAACACGGTCTTCTTTAAGCGTCCACTCCATATTTAAAAATGAGTAAAATTCTAAAGAGTATACAGTTTTATTTTCATGAACAATTCGAAATTCGAATTCAATAAAAATTTTTGTGGCCAGCATTCTAAAAGAAAAGTTTTTACTGTGTGACAATACTTATGACCTGACTAGGTATATATATATATATGTGTGGCTTAACTTTTGAGTTTAGGGATAGGATAGGATTAGGGGTTTTTGGTTTTATATACACGCTCTTTTTTTCATACTTGGCTTTGTGTGTGTGTGTGTGTGTGTGTGTGTGTGTGTACATATATTATTTTGTCTTTGAATAATGGCTGATAGCAGAGAAAGGAAGGAAGGAAGTGAAGTAATTGAGAATGGAATAGATTGCCTGACTGGGGAATATTTGTAATAGTTGCCATACTCGGCAGCTAGATTAGGAATCGCATTTTTTTGTTATAATTGTGTTGATATCAGGACGCTGGCCTCTCCTGTTTCAATTTCCTTTTGTGGCCTCTTACGACACCTACACATTTTTGGACACACATACGTTATAACAGCGCGTTCGGTGACAGCGTCAACTCGGATACAGACTTGGATCAGTTGCTCCACGGATCTGCATGTGAGCGGCATGTGTTGGTAAGCGAATCAGAAACAACACGACCGTTATTATTGTAATTTTTAAATTTAAAAAGATGTAAATAGTAACAATGTGATTATTTGTAACTTTATCGTGGCAGATCTTTTTTGCAGCAAAAAAACTGAACAATTCGGCATTTCTGTAGGACGATTAAGCGTGTAAATTTAGTGTAGTGTGTGGCTGCAAATTGTTTTAATGTACACATATGACCGCGTGCACTTATACTTTGACAGAGGGCAACACCTGCGTAAGGCTACCTACTATCCGCCGGTGGCCCATGTTGTTCTATGGCAGTAGGAGATAAATTTAAATATTTTTTTCTCAAAAAAGGAACATCAGCGAAATGTTTCTCAAAAGACATAGCAACTTCCTGATAATAGTAGAAATAGTAAAATAAATTAAAAATTAAAGGGGGCTCCCCTACTACAAACGTGTTTTACGATGGTACGGAACCGTTTATGCGCGAGTCCGACTCGCACTTAGACGGTTACTTTGTATGTAGGTATGTAACGCTATATCTTCGTCAATTGTGAAAAAATGTTTAGTGTATTTAGACCACATTCTATCTTGAGATTGTATAATATGCCTTAGTTTACTTAAATGGGTAAAAAAAACTTTTAATAAAAAGTAAAAGTCGACTTCAAAGAGCTAAAAAAGGCACCTAGGTTTGTAAACGTTATTGATATTAATTTAGCGTCAACGTTCATTATATTTTCATGTGCCAGTCTCTGCGGATTTAACAGTGGTAGAGCCACGCGGCAGCTTTTGCTGTACGGATACGGATGGGCCGGCTCGAACCGGGGTAGTACCACGACCTCACAGAAAACCAGCGTGAAGTAGAGGTTTACCTCTGCGTTTCGCTTGGTGAGTGCAGGTGGCCGGAGGCCCTTTTTACTGGAAATGAGGCATTCCATCTTAGCCCTCACTGGTGACAACGCATCTACATTTTGATTTGTAACAGAGGATAGATGTAGATGTCTATGGGCCGCAGCAACCACTT